TGGAGCACTGGGTGTTGTGCACGAACGATGAATCATGGAACACTTCATCTAGAACTAATGATGTAATGTATGGGGATTAACATAAGAATAAAAAAAAAATTAAAAAAAAATAAATAAATAAATAAAAATAAAATGTTTAGAAACAAGCCCGTTTACTAAAAACATTTTAAAAGAAGAAGGGAAGTAACGTGTTGAGTGCCTCCCATGTGCAATTCAGATGTGAAGCTAGATGCTTTACACATAATCCCTGTTAATCCTTTTAAGAACACACAGGAGAGATGCATCATTGGCCCCATTTTACAGGTTGAAAAACTCAAGTCAAGAAAGTTAAGATTCTTTCAATCATACCCAGAACGTATCTGGCTCAGAGTAGGTTCTGTCGTCTGATCTGAAGAGACTGAGTATGTTTAAACTTTGCCTTCTAGGTTACATATGAGGATAATTTGCTAAAACATCAAGCTATGCAGAAAAACTCCAAGAGGAACAATAATTCAAGAGTTTCTGGCATAGAATTGAATTCTGTGGATGCTGAGAAGGAAAAAAAAGAGAGTCAAAATAACTTTGTTGAACTGCTGCCTCCAGAAGTTACTTTTAAAATTTTCAGTCAGCTAGACATTCGGAGTTTGTGCAGGGCTTCAGTAACCTGCAGGAGCTGGAATAACACAGTAAGAAACAGTGACTCCTTGTGGAAACCTCATTGCTTGACTCTAAGAGCTGTGTGCCAAAGAGAAATAGATGATGATCTAGAAAGTGGATATTCCTGGAGAGTAAGTTTAGTCTTTGTAGTCTGCAGTGTTCTTGACAATATGGTGGTAGGTTTGAGCCAACCCCACCTTCTGCCTGAGGAGGTAGGATTTCAGAGACGGAGTGGCATACAGAGTGTGTTGGCTTTTGGAGTTGAAGTTGAATTATTATTCTTCTCCTACAAACCACACCATCCCATCCATCCTTTTACATTTTTTTAAATCCTAAATTTAGGCACATTCCTCCGTTAGCTACTTCATTCTACTTTATCCAAAACTCACAGCAAACTCCATGGCTCACTTTGCATATGTACACATATACATACGCCCACACACACACATACACACACAACACATTTATTAGTGTATGTGTGTATCAGTGTAAATACTTAATCTTCTTTTCAGTCCTGTCAATCAGCTCCTCTAGTTTTAAACAAACTCACTGACCAACCACCTACTACATTCTTTAACAGTGATGATTTACCTCTTTCAGGTAATACTATTGAGGAATTACCAGAAGAGTAAAGTGAAACACGAATGGCTAAGTGGCAGATACAGCAACATATGTTCTCCTCTGAGCCTACCAGAAAAAATCATGTACCCAATGGATGTAGATACGTGGGGGGAAATTCTAGAAGCAGAACTGGAAAGATAAGCCAGAAAATTACAAAGATCTTGTAACTTTGAGACTTTCAAACAAAAATGACTCTTAGGTTCATTTTTTTGTTTACCATTTTAATGTTTAACATTTAAAAGAAAACTAAGTAGAAAATATTATGAAAGTCAAACTGTTTTTATTCTGCACTTTCATAAAAATTTTTCTGGTTTTATTGTAAGGTAGAAGAATCATGAAATGTTGTGTATGTAGGAAATACTATACGGATAGAGTGATTTCAAAATGTATTGCTTCATATATTTGTATCAGCATATTGCAGTACTCTAATGACAAGAGAGTTTGATTGATATTTTCTACTGAATAGTAATTCAAAAATTCAGGAAACCATTTGAAGAAACTGATTAGAGATTCATTCAGCAGTAGACATAATTAGGCTCATAACTGGAAGTAGACAACACTAGGAAGACTACCTGAATGAAATTAATCACTATATTTAAATGTAGAGTGTAATACACTTATATTTCAATAACTTTAAAATATCCATTTCAGTGGAATCAGATTGAATTGTCAAACATTGAGCCCATTTTAAAATGTGTTAAACTTGTGGTTTAGTTTAAAATTAACCTGACCAGAAGGCTAAAACTTGTGAGACTAAGATTCCCATTACTTGCCTACAGACCTGGAACTGTTCTCAGGGACAATGGAAAGTTTCCGGTAACACTTGAACTGCCACACTGTTTTTCTTGGTAAAAGCTTTCTTTCTAACAGCCTTATAGCACCATCTAGTGTACTCCTCGTAGATAACCAAGGCAAAGGACTTAAGGTCCTTTTTGTTTTCCTCACATTTAAAAGAAAAATATATATATTATTTTAGAGAACGCTATATACCTGATTTAAGTTTATAGCTCTTCAGGAACCTTCAGTTTAACTTTAGTTCTCTTTTTCTTAAAAGTAGATGGTATAGTACTCACTATACCAGATTGTTCATTCTGAATCTGTGGTCAGCATCATAGTAAAAAGTGTTTACAAAACATTTTAAGTTAGTATGGCATTTTCTTCTTAAATTGTGCTCCATAGCACAAAAAAGAAGCATCCAGGAAACCTGTACCTAACAAATGGACACAATATCAGAAAGATGCCTCACTCTATACAAATTCCCTTTGTTGGATCAAGCAGGTGAGGATTGGCTGGAAGGGGCCTTGAAGATCAGGCAGTGCAGTCTCTAGGACTAGTTAACAATCCCTTCTAGAGAAATTCCTCTCACCCTCCCACCCACCAAACTCTCTTCTTGGCAAACTCTTTTGTAAAACTTACTCTCTTGATCTGGAAACCATCTCTAGATCCTACCATTCTGGATTAAGTGACCTTCAATAGAGTTCCCATAGTTCTTTGTACATACCACTCTTAAAGCTGTCTACTACATTAAAATTTGTCTGCCTCCCCCGTTAGACTGTGAGCTTCTTGAAGGCAGGGACCATTTATTTATTTTTATGTTCCCCAAACCTGGAATATAGTAGGTATTCCATAAAGATTTGTTAAATTATTTCTGTATTATTTATTTTAATCCTACCCAGATTGTATAATAAAAATAGTTTGCTATATTGTTAGTGGACAAGACTGTACTGAAATGCAATGTGCAACCCATAAGGTAGATGGGATGCTTACTATTAATGGAAATACATGAATAATTGTTTTAGTCTTCTCAAAAGCTGTAAGAGAGAAACAGGAAAATAGAAATGTTTTGTTTTATGTCTGGGAATAAACACCTGAAAATCAACTTAACCCAAAAGTATCACTTATTTTTAATTATTGGGTCACCTCAATGAGTTTTAAGTATTATTTTGCAAGTTATATGAATAATCTTTAGTTTGGTTGTTTTTAGTACTATAGCATTAAAATTATTTTATATAATAAGTTATAAGCTATGATCACATTCTACACAGAAAGGAAAGTTTGGGGACTTAATGATAAATTTTATGGTATGGGCCTAGAATGAACTGTACATTTATCAGACCAAGCCATTAGCATCTGAGAACATGAGTGGGTGGAGTAGAATGGAGGGAAGGAGTGCTCTTACTCATAGATAAAATACCATGTTACATAGACACAGTTTTGTTGTTGCATAGAACAACAACATAGAATATTGTTGGCATAGAATATTAAGGAGTTTCCAGTGTTATTTAATATTTAATCAGTTCAAGAGCTAGTATTTTTTTTAATTTAGAAACCTTTCTTTAGTTGCTTCTAGTCTATAACCCAGTCTTAGACCAGAACATAATCACCAATAAAATCTGTATGAATATAAACTTTGGACCTTAGAATACCCCAGTAAATAAAAGCCTAATTTGAAAAATATGCCACTAACCACTTTTAATTTCATCTTTGCTTTGATTTCATATAATATCTTCTCTCCAAAACTTCAAATGCCCTAATAATAACAAAAATAAGACGACTAGTAACATCATGGGAAGAATAATACATAAGATGAAAGAGCATACATTTTTATTTACAGTAGAATTGAAAGACCCAAATCATCAAATAAATGAAATTAGATCAACAGTGGAGAAAGTTGATTAATTATAATAGCCAACATTTATTGAGTGCCTACTCAGAACCAAGCATAGTGCTTCTATTATTCTACGTCCTTTCTATGGATGAGGAAACTGAAAATTAGAGAATGATCTTATCTATGTAGTTCATCACCACTCCCCAGCACCTATGAGTATGTAACACGCAGTAAGTGCTCAATAAATTTTTATTGAATGAATTAAAAACTTACCTGAGATTGAGTAACTTGAATGAAAATGCCAAGAATGTTCCTCCAACTTTTTATTTTGAAAAATTTCAAACACAGAAAAGTAAAAAATACGACAAAAATATATGACAAAAACTCTTATGTATATCCTAACCTAGATATACCAGTTGTTAACATTTCCACATTTGTTTTATTTTTGCTGAAGCTTTGGAAACTAAGTTGCAGACATGATGATACTTTACCCCTAAATTCTTCAACATGCATCTCCTAAGAATAAGTACATTCTCCTATATGCAATACCATCATCACATCTAAAATTTTTATATTGATTCAATAATATAATCTAATTTACAATCCTTATTTAAATTTTCTTAATGGCCCCAAAAATATATAGATTTTTTTTTTCCAATTCAGGACCCAAACAAGGTTTACAAGTGCATATCATTTTTTATGTCCCCTTAATCTCTTTTAACCAGAAGCATTACTCTGCCTTTGGTTTTGTTTTTCAGAATATTGACTTGTTGGGGTTTTTTTTAAGAATTCAGGTTGGTTTTCTTAGAGAATGTTCTGTAAATGATTTGTCTGATCATCTCTTCATGATTTGATTCAGGTAAAACATATTTAGCAATTATACATAGGTGGATGTAATAGGCTTCTTAATGCACCACATTAAAAGGCACATAATGTCTGATTGTTTTACTGTGTGATAGAGTAAGTCTGATTATTTGATTGAGGTGGTAATCATCAGATCTCTCCGTTAAAAGGGATATTTTCCCGGGGCACCTGGGTGGCTCAGTTGGTTAAGCGACTGCCTTCAGCTCAGGTCATGATCCTGGAGTCCCGGGATCGAGTTCCGCATCCGGCTCCCAGCTCGGCGGGGAGTCTGCTTCTCCCTCTGACCCTCCCCCCTCTCATGTGCTCTCTCTCTCTCATTCTCTCTCTTTCAAATAAATAAATAAAATCT